AATGCCTAGCATAGGTCATCCTCTTCTACCACTGATCAACTGGTCATTTGTATCATATTTCTTATAAATATTATAATGTACAGAAAATTAAGAAAATAATGTAACATAAACAATTCCACAAATATAAGTAGAGGTGGTCTCTAATCTTTGTCTATTGGTATTTGGTTTCACTTGAGCTCTCATTTTACATATGGTTGTATTATGCCTTACATATTAGTACATTCTTTCGTACTGACGTCCCTTATTGGGGATGCTGTATTTCATGCTGCCAGGTACAGGTACTCAACTAGTAGATATCCCCAATAGAAGCACATGATACTCAGCGGTTGTTGGTGAGCTCCAAGTTGATTCGGGGCTTTGCCGAGTCTTTACTATGCGTATTTCATAGTGGTACAGTCATGGATTCTAGTAGAGGCTTTGTGGACATTGTAAAGCTATCATCTGTATTCATAGTTTCACTTGTCACATATATCGTAAGTCCATATTCATATGTCTTCTACTACTGGTTCATAGTTCCAAATCTCAATAATGATTATTGTCACTCCCAAAATCCCATTAAGGCGAACCGGCACCCGTTGTCGAGAAGGCTCGGGAAAACCAACTTGTAATCATGCTCTATCTATGAACATTTAAAGGTGCTGCCATAGTGGATAACATGTTTTCATGAAATTAGACAGTATTAACAAGCCAAAAGAAAGTGCACATGACTTGGCCGTTGGGACCATGATGTCTAACACATGAGGGACAACCACACTTCACTATACATAGTCTACAAAGCCTCAAAATAATAAAACATTATGGGGTTAAGGTCGGAACAGGCCCCGCCTTACACTCAGCTACTATACAATACCAAAATAGATGTTATAGACTCGGAAAGCCCCGAATCAACCTGGAGCTCAACAATAGCCGCTAGATGTCCTGTTCTCCTACTGGGGAGATCTACTAGCTCCTGTACCTGCAGCACGAATTGAAGTCCCCCGAGAGAGACGTCAGTACTGGATAATGTATTGCGTATGTAAGGCATAAAGTATTGTATGTGAAATAAGAACTCAAATGAAACCATATACCAATGTAAGGATACAAGACCACCTTTTTCTCATATTATGGAATCAAGTACTTTACCTCTTTTCTTACTTTATCATTCTTACTTTACACTATGTGCACAAACATATAATTACAAAATGACCAGCTGATCAGTGGTAGACATATAAATCGGGATTGACCCATGCTAGGATTTCCTTTAACCCCTAGGATACCACCCGTAATATTGGGATCGACCCATGCTAGGTGATTTTTCCACCCATGGGATACCACCCATCAATAAGCAGATTCATTTAATATCTTTCCATTAACATTTGAAATGATTCTTTTGGTGGTTATTTTGAGTTGTGGGACTATGTAGTCAACAAGTGACGTGTAATAATCATATAATGCAGGAACAACAACGTAGAGAGTAGTTACACAATTAATGAAATGCATAGGAGCTGAAATAATATATGGACCTTATTTAGTTAAAAGGAGAACTCATACAGGGTATTCAATGTATATGTACAGATTTGACAATGAACATGTATTAGAACGTGCAAACATGTTAAAGAGTGAGAACAAGGTCATAAGTCGTGTTGGAGCTGGTAGGCTGCCTCTATGTGT